TGATAATGTACTCACTAAACTTACAATTCATTTAACTTATTTTCTTCCAAAAGTTAATTATCCAAAGCCTCTGTACACCCCCTTCCCTTTACATGTAATGGTTTGGTCCTGCCTCCAGCACCGCCGGCACTTTCTAGCAGAGTGAGAGCATGTTAGGAGCAGGGATGCTAGTACTTACGTGTGAACCATGTCTCAACGACTCACAAAGTCAGGCTTTCAAGAAAGGAGAGAAAGACAAGAGAGAGGGACTAAAGGTCGACAGTGTCACCCAGTGTTTCAAAGAAAAGTGGTGGAAATGTGTCTGTTAATAGTTATATATTTTTTTTTTTTACTAAGCTGACATTAAGTACTGTTAATATCTATACAGGTTTTTAATGTCACTCCACTTTTAGCTGACATTTAGTAAATGTTTAGCAGCTATTCACTAAATCAGTTGTCCCTCCCCCTGGTGCCAGGACCAACAGATCCATCTCTAGACTTAGCAGCCCTGTCCCCCCATAAATGTTATATTTTCACAGCTCAGTGTCAGTAAATATTGTGCAGTTAGTATTGGACTACAAGATAGATGCAAGCCTGTACAGGTCGAGTTATTTAAAGCATAAATGAGTGGGTTGGGTTCTGGAGGTGTGGTTACAGTAAGTGTGCTTGGTTGGTGTGGCCTGGGCCTGGTGGTGGGGCCGTGATATATTTCCATGGGGCCCAAAATCCCTGGCGTGTATGGCCAGAGGGCAGGAGGACCTATAACACATTTACTACCCACAACAAAAGGACCGTTTGACTATGTAAATGTAGTCTTTTAAAAAAAAAAAACATTTACTGACTTTTAGGATAGCTTCAAGTAATGTTGTAAAATTACAACCGGGGGCCTTACAGGGTTAAGGGCTATTGTTTATTGTTATTTACTTTAAGATGTTTATTCTTAACATATCATTTAATTTAAAAACTCTTATTTAAATGATGCGTCTCTGTATTCCTGATACACTGAGAGAATGAGCTCATAGGGCTGCTGATCACCATAAGCTAAACAGTCTGTATATTGCATTACATTTGTATAATGTAAGCTTCGTTGATACTTTGCCTGCGGGAATACGAAAAAAATAGTTATTATACTGAATATTATTTGATCTATTCCACCACTTAATCCCAAATAATGTAGAGGTGTGTTGTAGGTGCCTTAAATAACCCCTTATTTTACAGTGAGATGTATTTTTATGTTCATATAATAGTGATTTCAATGCCACCCCAAAATGATCACTGGTTCCATCCTGGCTCTGCCACTGTGCGGGGGGACTGGAGGCTGAAGGAGCGCGAGGGGAGGGGGAGGTGGGGGAGACCTTGCGGGGGCTGCTCAGGTCTCCGTTGTGCAGCTTCCACATCAGCGCCTCGTTCTCCATGGACTCCTTGTGGAGGGACTCCTGCAGCACCGCCTGCTCCGTGGACAGCTGTCTGAGACGCACACAAACACAGAGGACACGTTAGACATGCTCAAATATTTAAAGACGTGAAGTTGATCGTTTTTCCCCAAATCTTATAAGATCCAAATAAACACATTAATCTGTCTCTCAATAATGACTGATTTCCTTTTCCTGTTGGTTGCTCCCAGGCACAGACCCATTGGTTGCTACTGAATATGTACAGGTAATTCAAGCATTACTCAGTGCAGTAAATAGAGCTTTTGTTGTAGACACATAGTCCACAATGAACTACAATGCCCATATTCCACGAGGGAACCATGTGTTTTTTTACATCCATGACATCCTATCATATACATATATTTATATTCATTATCAACATCTAGGGCCAGAACTTTCTTTAGTTGATCCTTACTGTTGTTCTGTTTATACATGTTGTTCTTATATCCTTGTGTGACCTGTATCTGTCCTTTTTCCTTATTGCTAATTATTATCTTATTGTCACCCAGACAAGAGGAAACGAGGAGGAGAGGATCGGGCCCAGCAGGAACGGCACCATGAACAGCACATGGCCCAGCAGGAACGGCACTTGGACTGGGCCAAAGCGTCTGCTGAGCGGAGATGGGAGTTGGATGCGGCCTTGAGAAGGGAGGAGGCCGTCTTGAGAAGGGAGGAGGCCGTCTTGAGCAGGGAGGAGGCCGTCTTGAGAAGGGAGGCGGCCGTCTTGAGAAGGGAGGCGGCCGTCTTGAGAAGGGAGGCGGCCGTCTTGAGAAGGGAGGAGGCCGTCTTGAGAAGGGAGGAGGCCGTCTTGAGAAGGGAGGCGGCCGTCTTGAGAAGGGAGGAGGCCGTCTTGAGAAGGGAGGCGGCCGTCTTGAGAAGGGAGGCGGCCGTCTTGAGAAGGGAGGAGGCCGTCTTGAGAAGGGAGGAGGCCGTCTTGAGAAGGGAGGCGGCCGTCTTGAGAAGGGAGGCGGCCGTCTTGAGAAGGGAGGAGGCCGTCTTGAGAAGGGAGGAGGCCGTCTTGAGAAGGGAGGAGGCCGTCTTGAGAAGGGAGGCGGCCGTCTTGAGAAGGGAGGCGGCCGTCTTGAGAAGGGAGGAGGCCGTCTTGAGAAGGGAGGAGGCCGTCTTGAGAAGGGAGGCGGCCGTCTTGAGAAGGGAGGAGGCCGCCTTGAGAAGGGAGGAGGCCGTCTTGAGAAGGGAGGCGGCCGTCTTGAGAAGGGAGGAGGCCGTCTTGAGAAGGGAGGAGGCCGTCTTGAGAAGGGAGGAGGCCGTCTTGAGAAGGGAGGAGGCCGTCTTGAGAAGGGAGGCGGCCGTCTTGAGAAGGGAGGCGGCCGCTCAAGCAGCGACCTTCAACCTAGCCTTCCTGCTCACTCTTGGCGAGGTGCTAGGGGGACTGGGCAGCCGACGTGGCCCGTCTCCTCCGTGATACTTCAAATAACCTTAATAGTTATTGTACATAATATATATTTTTTATCTAGTTAATTTTTAAATGCAACATTTGTACTTTCTTGTTTATTTATTTTTACAATGCCATGTATATTTATGCTGGCTGCAATACCGTTTTACATTTGTATTGTTTAATGGCATGCCTTTTTGATAAACATTTATTTGTATACTGCCATCAATAAAGTACTTCTTTGACTTATCTTATCTCTTGTTGATAATGAATTGCACCCAACAGGAAAAAAATCAGATTCACATAATCTTGATTTAGAAGATATAAACATACATGAATTCATAAAGCAATAACAAACACCATCAGTTAGGAAAAAGCCCATAAGATAAAAGTTAGTTTTAGAGATTTAAAGCAAGCAATTGAGTTTGCTAGCTTGAGGTCCTCCTCTAAAACATTATTACATGTTTATTTTGTAATGGTATTAAGAATACATGATTAATACATGTAGTAGAAATTGCTCAATTGTAATACCCTCGTTCTAGACTCAAACCCATTCCTTATATATTTCAAAGACGAGAACAAAAGGAACCTATAACCCATTCAAGCAAGCTTTTAACATGTCTAGAAGAAAGATTGAGGTTATATTTTAATATATTATTTTATGTTGTGGATACTTTAGCTTCCATCCATGTTTACAATTGTCCACACTATTTTACACTTTCATTTATGAATATAGTTTTGCTGTGTTTTATACTTAAGTATTTATGTTTATAGTTAGCTTTGATATTCGCTTAATTTATTAGAAAGATTTTCTTTTCATGATCTGATATTTCCTCAAATGTTCTTATTAGGCGCATTCACACCGCAGTACTTTTCCCACAAAGGTTCATGTGAACTCTTTAGTTCTCATGAACTAAGTACAGATCGCGTTCACACCGGAATAAGTCCCTGGGGGAGGATTAGGCAAATGAAGCCGCTGACGTCACTTCTTCTTCTTCTGCTTTGGGTTTACTGGCAGGCCGCAAACCACTTCACGGCGTATACTGCCGCCCAAAGTCCCCGGCAGAGTCCTGCATCGGGTCGGGTACCCGACGGGTGACCCGCAAAAAAGGTGATTCGCGGGTGGTATTTTTTCAAACGCTTTTTTCCGGGTTCGGTTCTGGGTAAAACAAAGATGATGCGGGTCGGCTCGTGGGTATTGCATAATAAATATATTAAAATAATAATAATTTAGTTTAATGTTTAAATCCTGGGACCGCGCATAATCGTAACCTCTGCAGCGCATCAATCTGCTGCTGTGTAAATTCTCCACATTCAAAATGGCTGAGGTGGAGCTCTCTAGCAGAGAATACAGCATTTTCAATAACACTTCCTCAAGAGCGAAATCCAACGTCTGGGAGGCTAGATGGAGAAAATAACCAACATCCCACGCTTTTTGAGACAAATATGCAACTGCGTGTGTTAATAATTGCACATTTTCACTGCTCATAGGCTATGCAGGTTCGGGTCGGGTTGCGGATCTTGTGCCGACGGGTCGGGTCGGGTTGCGGAACTAATTGGCAATATGTGCGGGTAACGGGGCGGGTTCGGTATTGTACGTCGCGGGTGCGAGGCGGGAGCGGGTCTTGAAAATCAGACCCGTGCAGGACTCTGGTCCCCGGCCAGAAGTCCCCGGAGTTGGGGAAGGCTTCAGTAGCAGCTGCTGGGACTCCCAGCAGCTTCTACTGAAGCCTTCCGAGTAAATCGCCAGAACGCCGACACCTCCTCATCTCCACCGCTCCCATGTTTTATTTTGTGTTGTCATAAATTAGTCTCTGCATTTCTGCGCTGGGCTAATGCTAATAATGCTAATGCGAGGATAATAAAATGGCGGCTTCACAAAACATTTTGGGAGTTTTACGGGGCGTGGTTTGCAATCCTTCCAGCCAATCAGACACAGGAACCCTTTTCTCCCACGAAAGTCCCTGCTCTCTAGCAGGGACGGAAAAGGGGGTTTAAAGGTTCTCATGAACTAATTTTAGTTCCGGCTCTTTTTGGTGTGAACGCAACATTTCGGAACTAAAGTGGGAAAAGTACTGCGGTGTGAACGCGCCTATTATGGGGCAGTACTTACTGGTGCTTGAAATTCAAATATTTACTAAATATTCAATTCAGGTAACAACATTTTTGTTTAAAACATTTGACAAACACATGTATATGAAAAAAAAAAGATTTATTTATGTTCAATACAATGCATATTTAGGTATTCAGGTAGCGCATCAAACCCTCTCTGATGTCAGTGCCCTCCTCCTCTGCACCTTGTGCCACTGCTACCCCTGGCTCTGCTGCTGCTGGTGCATCCCACCCATCATCATAGGCCTCTCCATGACTCTCGCAGAGGTTATGCAGAGCACAGCAAGTCAGCACCATGGATTTCACAAGTTTCAAATCACAGTCATTTCTTTTCATGAGGCAACGCCACCTTCCCTTCAGTCGACCAAATGCGTTTTCAACCACTACCCGTGAGCTGCAAATGTTCTTGTTGTAAACCACATGTTCTGCTGTCAGCCGTCCAGTGTCTGGGAAGGGTTTTAAGAGCCAGCTTTGCAAGGGATAGGCATTGTCTCCCAGGATGTAATAGCCAGCATTCACCCCACCAATGTCCCTGGTGCAAGGGGGAAAGTAGTTGCCACGACTGGCCAACTCCCACAATGTGGACAGCCTCAAAACCTGAGCGGCATGCATGCTCCCAGGCATTCCTGCAAACACATTCCAGAAATGTCCCTTTCCATCTACAACTCCTTGAAGGATGATGGAGTGCCCGCCTTTCCGGTTGAAATAGTCACAGTGGTTTTCCTGTGGGGCCAAGATGGGTATGTGTGATCCATCAATAGCACCTACACACTGTGGGAGCCCCCACCGGTTCTCAGTGTAGGCAGCCATTTCTGCAAACTTCTGCCGGTCTGGTGAACAAATTAGTTCCGGTACTAACAACGCCTCCGCAGCAGCACAGAAGTCTTGCACACACCGGCACACAGTGGTGTTGCTCACTCCGAAAAGATGTCCAATGCTTCTGTACTCTGAGCCGGTCGCAAGCTTCCACAGTGCGATGGCCACTCTCTTCTTTAGAGGTATACACACGCGGAATGGTGTGTCCTGTCTCTCCATCGCTGGCCGCAGTTTGTTGCACAGGTAGGTGTAGGTTTCCTCAGACATCCTGAAGCTCTCCACCCACTGAGTGTGTGTGAAAGATGGAACAATCACAGACCACCACTCGGTAGCTCGGTCGAGCATCCAAACACATGGTCTGCGGCGATGTAACTTCTGAAATACACAAACAAAAGCGTACATATTTTAATACGTAAAAGTGGTAGCTACAATTAATTAAATATTTGAAACACTGGTCGTATTGTGAGCGTGAGCTTAGGGGTGCCAACAACTAATCGACTAAAATCGATGACCAAATTAGTTGCCAACTAATTCAGTCGTCGATTCGTTGGTGACGTCATTACGTGTGTTTTACGCGCCGTTAAGCTCCAACGTCATTGGTCTTTTTATCGGTACCGGAGACATTTAAAAAATACATGTCATGTATTATTGCTACATAAGCATTATATCGCAGTCTTAGTGTCGCCGACTCGTTTCTAATATGCAAAAAGACAAACAAATGCGTCTATAGGCGCATTCACACTGCAGTACTTTTCCCACAAAGGTTCATGAGAACTCTTTTGTTGCGTTCACACCAAAAAGAGCCGGAACTAAAATTAGTTCATGAGAACCTTTAAACCCCCTTTTCCGTCCCTGCTAGAGAGCAGGGACTTTCGTGGGAGAAAAGGGTTCCTGTGTCTGATTGGCTGGAAGGATTGCAAACCACGCCCCGTAAAACTCCCAAAACGTTTTGTGAAGCCGCCATTTTATTATCCTCGCATTAGCATTATTAGCATTAGCATTAGCTCAGCGCAGAAACGCAGAGAGACTAACTTATGACAACACAAAATAAAACATGGGAGCGGTGGAGATGAGGAGGTGTCGGCGTTCTGGCGATTTACTCGGAAGGCTTCAGTAGCAGCTGCTGGGAGTCCCAGCAGCTTCTACTGAAGCCAGTCCCTAACTCCGGGGACTTCCGGCCGGGGACTTTGGGCGGCAGTAAACGCCGTGAAGTGGTTTGCGGCCTGCCAGTAAACCCAAAGCAGAAAGAAGAAGAAGTGACGTCAGCGGCTTCATTTGCCTAATCCTCCCCCAGGGACTTATTCCGGTGTGAACGCGATCTGTACTTAGTTCATGAGAATTAAAGAGTTCACATGAACTAAAGAGTTCACATGAACCTTTGTGGGAAAAGTACTGCAGTGTGAATGCGCCTTACGGCCTCTACACACGGCGGCGTGCGTTACCGCTTGGCGTATCTTGAGCTTGGGGAGTCAACGCGAGCAACAACCAATCACATGAATGTCCCGCCCCGGACATACAAAGCAACGCATCCATGCTACATCCATGCTGGCTAAATATACTGTCTATGCTTGCTAGCTGTCCATTCAAACGAAGTACACTGGATATAAACTCCCCAAACAGGCGAAAACCTACCAGTTTCACCCACTGTCTCTGCCACCTCCCCCCATGCCTGGCTCCTCCGGTTTGTATCCCTGTATGTAAAAAGGGACTGGTCATATAGTACCGCCACGATAATTTTCTCCTACATTTTTTGACATATGGGAAATAACTGCGGTCTGGCTCTCCCAACATACACGCGGTTTGATTGGCTAGCGCTTGAACTGTCAGATTTGCATATGCGGGATTTGATTGGCTGACGCCTCCGTCGAGGTGGCAAAAGTAGAACATTGCTCTACTTTTGCAGCGAGCACCGCGAGAGAAGCTACGCTTTGCTCCCACAATGCAGTTCGACGAATCGTGACGTCACCCCATTCAAAGTGAATGGGCAGAAGCGTTGAAGCGGCAACGCACGCCGCCGTGTGTAGGGGCCGTTATGGTGTATTTTAGATCTTTCCAATCCAGACGAGATCTATCCCCCGTCTGTGTGCGAGGGGGCGGGGCAGTTTACACACACGCGGCTGCTACATGCAGTAACAACACACACGGAGGAGATGGCGGAGAGAACGCTCTCCGAGGTGGTTAAACTTTACCCGTCTCGATGCTCGTTACCAAAAGTGCAATAAGAGTTTAGCATGTAAGGGCGGTAACACGAGCAATGTGTCTAAACATTTAGCAAAAGTGCTCCACATCCAGACGGAGGAATGTACCGGGTTCGACCGTCTTTCTAGCAGCTCTGTAGCCCCGCCCACGAGTAACGTTTCCACGTCAGGTGTTCTGTATGCTAGCAGCAACACACGGAGTTAACTACATTATACAAACATGGGTTAATGATTAGTTATTTATTTTGTTAAAGTTTCAGCTATTCTGTCATCAGATTATTTAATACGATTTGTTAAAACATTGTTGTTTCTTTTGATGTGAAATATTATTTAATTAATTTAAATAAAAAGCAATGTTAGTTTTGTCCAAAATGTTAATTTAATAATATATGTATTTTTGAATCAAGTATTCATCTTTATTGTCTTCATTGTTAGTTTCCACATGCCTAAAACAACTTCAAGCTAAATCTAAAAGTTTATGGCTAAATAAGACGACGCTGAAGTTGGCTTCCGATTCAGAGCATCCGATTCGGCAGTTAAGGGGAAAGTTAAGGGACATTTAATTTACAGCGCTGAGCGAACAATCCTCCGTGTTTGAACCTCTTAAATCTCTGCATAGCCGATTTATTTGGACTGGATTATCCCAGAGAGTCTAAAGATTCTTTATAACAGTTTCAGATTTGTGAAACCTTTATTCTATTTGTGAAAATACAAACAAGGGAGATTTCAGTGCTTTGTTCGCATCCTGACCACATTAGACCAGGTCCTGATCTGAAACCACTAGACCTAGACTCATCAAATCTGGACTGGATTATCCCAGAGAGTCTAAAGATTCTTTATAACAGTTTCAGATTTGTGAAACTTTTATTCTATTTGTGAAAATACAAACACAGGTGGAAGACTGAGGTTGCTGCAGCAGGCCAGGATCAGAGAGTGAACCTCCCAGCTGGGCAAGCCGTTATGCCTTCTTGTATTTAATAGAATAAAGGTTTCACAAATCTGAAACTGTTATAAAGAATCTTTAGACTCTCTGGGATAATCCAGTCCAAATAAATCGGATATGCAGCGATTTAAGAGGTTCAAACACGGAGGATTGTTCGCTCAGCGCTGTAAATTAAATGTCCCTTAACTTTCCCCTTAACTGCCGAATCGGATGCTCTGAATCGGAAGCTAACTTCAGCGTCGTCTAAGCGTTTGAGAAATTGTGCAAGGCGTAATAGTCCGAATAGTCGATTAATCGATTATCAAATGAGTCGTGTGTTGCAGCCCTAGAGCCTAAACACATGGCTAGTTAGCGAACGTTAGCTTACCGAGTAGCGTTGTCGTCTAGTCCTGTTGTAGTCTCTGCAGCGTTGGAGGACTTCCAAAACTCTCTCGTCAGCTTCTTCTGCATCTCGTCTTGCTATACGCAGCCTCCTTTGAAACATCACTTTCCTGCTTGCTGTGATCACTTTCCTTCTTGCTGTGATAACAAGCCACACACTAAGAAACAAGTAAACGATCGCTTCCACATCCTCCATTGTTTTGTGAGTTGTGTCGCATTGAAGATGACGCCACTGCAGTTTTACCCAGCGTCGCTCCGCCCAAAAAATCCCGCCAAAAAGCCGATCGCTCCGCCTACACTGCGTTGCTACGCTACCCCAGGTCTTAAACTGTAATGGAAATGCGCCACGGCCCGTTCTGGCGCGTTTTCACTGCAGGCCTCGCTCGGTTTGGTTAGGCCTTATTAGGCCCGGCTCACTTTAATGCTGCGCTTCCATTACAGTTTAGGAACTGGGGCAGTAACTATAGTAACGCAGTGTAGGCGGAGCCGTGACGTCATCTTCAATGAGAGCCCCAGAAAAACAACACAGCCTTTAGCTGCTAGCACTCAGAGCTCACAGCTCTTCATATCTGTTCAGAAACTAGACAAAAGTTAAACAAGTACAAACCACAGACTGCCTGTGTCATGGCGAATACAGTCGCTGCTTTATTTATGTCTGTATAGGCCGTTGTTGTGAGTGTGGACGGTCGGCGCATATATAACGTTAGCTTAGCCAAGCTCCATTTAGAAAAACACGCATTTTAAAAGGTGTTTCGCCTGCCGTCTGTCTGCAGACTCGTCAAAGCATTAATTCATGGTTTTTACTAACCGGTATCAGTATGTTGTTACTTCGGCATCATTTTGAAACGTGTATTACAATTAAATCACGGTCAAATATGTTCATGTTGTTGTAGTTGTAGCCCCTTGCCAGCGATTCTCTCAGTTTAGCATACTCAGCCTGGTTGTTCCTGGCCCTAGAACCACGATTTTATGGGGCCAGAAAAACTGTGAATTAGGACCCCCTAGCCGGTACTAGGCCAAGTGGAAACGCAACCAAAAACGGGCCCCGCACGGCTCGGCACGCTTAAAGCTACCCACGCCGTTGTGCTGCTCCTACAGTAGTTTGGAGAGTGTATCCTACCCCTCACACCAGATACTGACTGGTTTTCGGACCCTCCCAATAAAGCAAAACTGCACGTTTCAGAGTGGCCTTTTATTGTGGCCAGCCTAAGGCACACCTGTGCAATAATCCTGCTGTCTAATCAGCATCTTGATATGCCACACCTGTGAGGTGGGATGGATTATCTCGGCAAAGGAGAAGTGCTCACGATCACAGATTTTTTCAGATTTGTGAACAATATTTGAGAGAAATGGTTATTTTGTGTTTATAGAAAATGTTTTAGATCTTTGAGTTCATCTCATGAAGAATGGGAACAAAAACAAAAGTGTTGCGTTTATATTTTTGTTCAGTGTATTTTATTTGTTGAGTACAAATAAGTGTTTCTTGCTTCTTTCATTTACAAAAACATTATTTTAATCACCTTAATGTTGCAGCTGGTAAAGGAGGAGCTAATTTAAATTACATTTTGTATACTGTTGGGTAGCTTATGAAATTCACCATGGGATCAATAACGCTTTTATCTTAACCCTCTGGAGTCGGTGGACACGACTCCAGAGGGTTAACCTATAATAATACATGATAAAATATGTCTTGATTATATTTTGTAGTGTTCTGAATCTTAGAAGTATGTCTTTAGCATCTGAATAGAGCATCACAATGTGCCTCTCACACTTGACCACACCCCAAACTAATGGCACACACATTTCAGGGTATTGTTTTGTTATGAATGCTTAGTAAACAGTTTTAAGAAGCCATGGTATTAAATCCAACTAACTGTGAATTTATTTTTAAAAAATAAGGAACGTCCGGTGGCTGCAGAATCAACCCCCGGTGGCACCAGCAGTGAAACCTCGACCAGCACCACCGAGGAGTCCTTCCACTTTGATGCTGAGCCCTGCACTCCCCTGGCAGAATCCACCATCTGCACCGCACCGCTCAGAGGCCGAGCACACTCGGCACTCGAAGGCCTCCGGCGAAGCGCAGGAGGAGTCCGTACAGTACAGTGCCTAAGTAAATGAGATACTGTCTACCGCTGTTCATTTACCTATTGTGAGTCGCCTCGGATAAAAGCGTCACATGGAAATGTAGCAAGAAGTGGCCATTATTACATCACTACATTGCTGACTCTAATAAACGACACTGTGATCATCAGATGCAGGTCTATTAACTGATGTTGTAGCATGTCTGCACTTTATGTGCTCATTTCATCATTCATGTATTTTATATTCTACTCAAACTGAATCAAACCATAAACAAGGTGGCCTGTTGGGATTACTATATATATAATATCTGCATTATTTTATGCTTTGCTGTTCCACCAAGTCATCAACACATTTGCCAGAGACATTATATTAGATGCTTTCCAATTTGACGAGAGAAGCAATATGTTTCACTATGTCCCTTGAATTATCCCTTTCACAACCCAACTCTAAGGTGGTATCTGTCCACATGACCATGCGAGTCCAACACTGGAAAGTGGATTTCATTCTCAGTAAAAACTGGATGTTTTGCAATCACATCAGTCTTAAAATGTTTCCATGATTCGGATCTGTGTTTTCTACTTCTGTGCGTCGCATAAGTCCCATATATGTTTGTCATGAAATCCCATCCATCAAAAGCACATTCTATAGATTCGTGTGGGAATTGATGTTGAAAATACTCTTTTGTATTAGGATAAAATGAGTCACACATTTTACATGTTAAAGACTGCACAACTTCACATTCGTCAGTGTCCTGCAAATTGTGGGATCTATACAAGTGTGTTCGCAGGCCACTCCATGTCTTAAAGGAGCAAGGGCAGCTTAACTAGACATTGAGAGATATATATATTTTAATACTTTTATTTAGATTTCTCTAAATCTTTTATGCAATGTCCCTTTTTTACAGGAATCTCAACAGAAAAAGACTGATACATTTATAATGTTAAATAAAACGAAAAACAGACAGTTAAGAATGATATATTAATTATACTTATGTCTCCAGTATGATAGCTGGCAAACTAATTAAATCTGTGTTCCCTACTGGACTATAGGGGAAGCCACAAGATGGTCTTTTAATTAATCAAAGAAAAAGACTCACCAGCCAATTTGTAAACTTGTGACCAAACCAAACAACTTCCACATAACAGAAAGCGACCACAGTAAATCATAACAATACTCAGAACTTCTATAAGTTGCAACAAAAACACTGCAGTGCTGCACAGATCACCCACTGCCATCCATGCAGCTCACAGGAGAAGGAAGAGAGACTGCAGCCTTCCTCAGGTCCTTTATGGAGGCCCTGATTGGGGATTGGGAGCACCTGAGGGAGAGGCTGCACCTGGAGGGAGACAATCAGGGGGAGAGGGAGACACACACCCACACCGGCACGTAACACTATCTCTCACTTATTCTAAACATGTACTTAACCTACTTAAAGTGGAGAAAGAAGTGGAAAAATGTGTTTTTTTTGTGTAAATAAATGCCATAAATATACACTAATGTTTTATAGCAAACAATAGGTACACTGTAACTCCTGCATCACTGTTTTTCTATCATTTTATGACCATTTACTGAAGAAATAGAGCTGCAAAATCAGCAAAAAATGCATTTAATTCAACTTGAATGACTTGAATTTGTCAATACTGGCAAATTCTTATTTGTATCATTAAGTTGAGATCAGTTAAAACATATTATATCATGTGTTTGTGTCCTAAGAGAGGATGTATGAATGGAAAACAAATAAGTCAAGAAAATCAAAGTTTGCATATTCATATTTATATATAATTTATAACTATACGTGTATATAAGGCTCATACTACCATGGTCGATAAGTTCTGTAAATCACAGTTCTCATACACAGTACACTCAATCACAGTTACAAATAGATCAGATGATCAGAACAGAAAGGCATTGTTGGATAAGTAAGTTACAAAATAATCTTCTGGTGAATCACCGACAATAAGGGCTGGGAAGACTTCTCTACAGTGTCTATGGATAACCCATTAAGACATCACATATATTCTATTGCTACGTTTTTACAGGCAAGATTGCACTAAGAAATGAGTGTTAATACAATAAACAATGTGCATACATGTTCAAGAGTAGCAGAAACATATTTGAAAATGTACCCATGGAAGCACTTTTATGCAAATGTAAGATTGATGTTTCTCTCTTGCTGTTGTAATGTCCTATTACGTACCTCTGTATTCACTATTCACAGTCTGAATACATATTGCATCTAACCTCGGATACTCAGACATACAGGGGTTATTTTCTAAGTACCTATTAGGATATAACACCATAACAACAACATACTGTTTAGTATAACTGTAGTATCAAAGTTGCCTTTTAATCTCAGAGGAAGTGCGTGATTGTAAGTCAACAAATTAGTCTTCTGTCCTGTGACATGTTGACAGTTCATTGATGATCCAGCACTTTCACAGTAATGTCACCATATCAGACAAACGTATCTAAAAAACGACATACTTTAAAAAAGGCTCAGCGAGTAGGGATGATAATACAAAATCAAAGCACAGTAGAATTTGGCCTCGTTGCTTTTGCTTTGATTGTCCTTTCGTTTGGCTTTTTCTAGTCAGAATTTTTTTTTTAGATCACTTTTTGGAGTTAGGAAAAGTCCCAAACAGCCTCCGTAGTTTCGGGGGATGAAGGAGGATGGCATGAGGAGGCGGAGGGGCAAGACACTGGAGGATCATCAGGACTGGAGAAGGGCACTGCTGGATACATTAGATTCAGGAAAGTCTCTCTGGTGTGCCTCTTCACCTGGAAAAGAAAAGACGCATTTGCTCAAAACGATGGCATTTAGGGTTTCCAGCTGAGAGGAGCAGACATGTTTAATAAAGTCACCTGTTTGAAGAAGGCGTGGGTCAAAAGGGAAGATGCAGACGGCCTATGGGAGATAGAGAAAAAAGTCATTTGCGTGTCTGCAATGATATCAGATTCATTCATCAAGTAAAGCTGGTCCTTTAAGGTTATTTGTACATTTTAAGACAAAGAGGCAATTCAAAGTGCTTCACATAGGCATTTAACACATCATTAAAAACAAACGATAAAATAATGGTTAGATATTAATTATTAATGCCATAAATTAAAATTATTTCTCCAGTGTGATAGCTGTGAAAACAGAAGTTCTATCCATTTCTCACTTATTCTAAGAATGTACTTAACCCACTAAGTGGAGAAAGAAGCGAAAAAAGGTGGTTTCTTGTATAAATAAATACAAGTCAGGGATAATGTGCAGCGACGCGGTCATTATGGGGAAAAGAACACCGACAGGCTGATCAGGAGCCCGACGCCAAGCGGAGGGATCTAGATCGGCATGAAGGTGTTATTATCCCGCTTATTACACGGCCACATTCTCAACAAAGTAACGACATGACTCCCAATATTAATGTAAATGCTTTTATGGATTTAGAAAATGATTTTATTGATTTAAAAAATAGTTGTATTGATTTAAATTGACATGCATCCGCTAAGAAAAATAGTCCGTTGTTACCGTTTGAACTAACGTAGCAACGGCAGGAACTGCTTGCGTTTTTGAGGAGCTTTTTGATTACAGATTTGAAAACATCGCTGCTTGCTTTAAAAATAGCACAATTCATGATGTCAAACCTTGGAAAGTATCTAGATATCTCTGCCCTGATGCCAAAGGAACTATGTCTGGGCCGCTGCTTAAAAAGGAGGGTTTCTGCCCGTTACTTCTCCGATGTTTTCCTGTCTTGTCAGTTAGAAACTGTATACAGTTAAATCGAACGGAGTTAGCCTATTTGTGCAGATGTGAGCGTCCTTAACAACGGTCAATAAATCCTTGACAGCGGTCTGTCTGGATTAACAACGTGTCACGTGTTCTGAATTGACCAATCAGAGTCGACTATTCAACTAAACCATGTAATAATAGGTCATGTCTAACACCTGCATCACTGTTTTTCTATCATCTTATGACTATGTGCTGAGGAAATGGAGCTGCAAAATCTGCGAAAAATCCTTTAATTAAACTTGAATTACTTAAATTTGATATTATATCAAGCGATAGAACTATTAACGAAGCACTTTTATACTAATAAAGGGCTGGCTTATCTAAAGCCAGTTGAGTAGCACTTGAAATGTTTGGCTCTATGAAACCTGATGTACTTTATGATTCTGTTTTCTTCAAGGTTGTGTCTTCCTGGTCGAATGTACTTATTGTAAGTCGCTTTGAATAAAAGCGTCAGCTAAATGTAATGTAATATCATGTGTTTGTGTTCTAAGATAGTTGATCAGGACTTCTGAATGAGTTGTGGTTGTCTTATAGATTTTTTTAACAGATTCTTTAGCTAACCTTCGGTCCGGCTGCTGCTGAAGACAAAGCTGAACCAGATTGTGCAAAGTGGCCGAGTGGTTTTTGGGTGCGGGGCTCTGTGGTCGTTCGGTGGGAGGAGCGGTGGCGCTGTGGGTCATACTACCCGTTGCGACACTTTCCCCGATTCCAGAGTCAACGCCGGATCGAGACACTTTCAGACCCCCCAGTTCACTCAGTGGGAACGGAGCCACGTCTAAAAGACAACAGTGGGAACCGCGAAGCTTCTGGAGCAGCATCTGCACAATCAAAGGTAAGGTAAGGTACGTTTATTTATATAGCATATTCAAAGTGCTTAATACGTTTTTATAGGAAAGATTGCACCAAGAAATTACTGTAAATACAATGTAAGGAAACACTTTTATGCAAATTGAGTGTTGTACTTTTATTGATGTCTTAATGTGTGGAATTGTACAAATGTGTCTGTTGATATATGTATATACATATTTGTATTTTTTATTCCTCTGGATTGTGGGAAACGGTATTTAGATCTCTCTGTCTGGACACACAAACTGAAAGATTGACAATAAAGTTGACTTTGACATATTTACTCTGTTATTTCATCCCAATCTGCACTACAATCCTGTATTTTTCCGTACCTAATGCACAGATATTTTCTTCTTGGAAGTGTTTTTATTACCTGGGTGGGGGGCATGTCCTGGAAAGGCACCCTGCCGCTCACCAGCTCACAAGCAACGATACCTAAACTGTATATATCCGACTTCACTCCGTAACCGTGCAGGTCCTACTGAGGGCAACAGCATGAGGAGAGAGAGACAGATGCATTACAAAAAGATAGAAAGATAAATGCTTTTATTTACGACATGGAAAATGTAGGCATCCAGTAGCTTAATAAACACTCAGGAAAACACTTTAGTTTCTTTTTGAGATATGCATTGCCATTATTAATGATATGCTAACTAAAGACTTACAATGTAATGCTTTATTTAAGACATCCAGTTTTAAATAGCTTATTAAACGCAACACTCAGGAAAACACTACTTCTTACATGTTGAACACAAATACCTGTATTTTCTACTTCTTACATGTTGAACTCAAATACCTGTACTTTCTACTTCTTACATGTTGAACTCAAATACCTGTACTTTCTACTTCTTACATGTTGAACCCAAATACCTGTACTTTCTACTTCTTACATGTTGAACTCAAATACCTGTACTTTCTACTTCTTACATGTTGAACTCAAATACCTGTACTTTCTACTTCTTACATGTTGAACTCAAATACCTGTACTTTCTACTTCTCACATGTTGAACACAAATACCTGTACTTTCTACTTCTTACATGTTGAACTCAAATACCTGTACTTTCTACTTCTTACATGTTGAACTCAAATACCAGTACTTTCTACTTCTTACATGTTGAACCCAAATACCTGTACTTTCTACTTCTTACATGTTGAACCCAAATACCTGTACTTTCTACTTCTCACATGTTGAACTCAAATATCTGTACTTTCTACTTCTTACATGTTGAACTCAAATACCTGTACTTTCTACTTCTTACATGTTGAACTCAAATACCTGTACTTTCTACTTCTTACATGTTGAACTCAAATACTTGTACTTTCTACTTCTTACATGTTGAACTCAAATATCTGTACTTTCTACTTCTTACATGTTGAACTCAAATACCTGTACTTTCTACTTCTTACATGTTGAACTCAAATACCTGTACTTTCTACTTCTTACATGTTGAACTCAAATACTTGTACTTTCTACTTCTTACATGTTGAACTCAAATATCTGTACTTTCTACTTCTTACATGTTGAACTCAAATACCTGTACTTTCTACTTCTTACATGTTGAACTCAAATACCTGTACTTTCTACTTCTTACATGTTGAACTCAAATATCTGTACTTTCTACTTCTTACATGTTGAACTCAAATACCTGTACTTTCTACTTCTTACATGTTGAACTCAAATACCTGTACTTTCTACTTCTTACATGTTGAACTCAAATACTTGTACTTTCTACTTCTTACATGTTGAACTCAAATATCTGTACTTTCTACTTCTTACATGTTGAACCCAAATACCTGTACTTTCTACTTCTTACATGTTGAACTCAAATACCTGTACTTTCTACTTCTTACATGTTGAACCCAAATACCTGTACTTTCTACTTCTTACATGTTGAACTCAAATACCTGTACTTTCTACTTCTTACATGTTGAACTCAAATACCTGTACTTTCTACTTCTTACATGTTGAACCCAAATACCTGTACTTTCTACTTCTTACATGTTGAACTCAAATACCTGTACTTTCTACTTCTTACATGTTGAACTCAAATACCTGTACTTTCTACTTCTTACATGTTGAACTCAAATACCTGTACTTTCTACTTCTTACATGTTGAACACAAATACCTGTACTTTCTACTTCTTACATGTTGAACCCAAATACCTGTACTTTCTACTTCTCTCATGTTGAACACAAATACCTGTACTTTCTACTTCTTACATATTGAACACAAATACCTGTACTTTCTACTTCTTACATGTTGAACCCAAATACCTGTACTTTCTACTTCTTACATGTTGAACCCAAATACCTGTACTTTCTACTTCTCTCATGTTGAACACAAATACCTGTACTTTCTACTTATTACATGTTGAACACAAATACCTGTACTTTCTACTTCTCACATGTTGAACACAAATACCTGTACTTTCTACTTCTTACATGTTGAACACAAATACCTGTACTTTCTACTTATTACATGTTGAACACAAATACCTGTACTTTCTACTTCTCACATGTTGAACACAAATACCTGTACTTTCTACTTCTTACATGTTGAACACAAATACCTGTACTTTCTACTTCTTACATGTTGAACACAAATACCTGTACTTTCTACTTCTTACATATTGAACACAAATACCTGTACTTTCTACTTCTTACATGTTGAACCCAAATACCTGTACTTTCTACTTCTTACATGTTGAACCCAAATACCTGTACTTTCTACTTCTCTCATGTTGAACACAAATACCTGTACTTTCTACTTATTACATGTTGAACACAAATACCTGTACTTTCTACTTCTCACATGTTGAACACAAATACCTGTACTTTCTACTTCTTACATGTTGAACACAAATACCTGTACTTTCTACTTCTTACATGTTGAACTCAAATACCTGTACTTTCTACTTCTTACATGTTGAACTCAAATACCTGTACTTTCTACTTCTTACATGTTGAACTCAAATACCTGTACTTTCTACTTCTTACATGTTGAACTCAAATACCTGTACTTTCTACTTCTTACATGTTGAACTCAAATACCTGTACTTTCTACTTCTCACATGTTGAACTCAAATACCTGTACTTTCTACTTCTTACATGTTGAACTCAAATACCTGTACTTTCTACTTCTTACATGTTGAACTCAAATACCTGTACTTTCTACTTCTTACATGTTGAACTCAAATACCTGTACTTTCTACTTCTTACATGTTGAACCCAAATACCTGTACTTTCTACTTCTTACATGTTGAACTCAAATACCTGTACTTTCTACTTCTTACATGTTGAACTCAAATACCTGTACTTTCTACTTCTTACATGTTGAACTCAAATACCTGTACTTTCTACTTCTTACATGTTGAACACAAATACCTGTACTTTCTACTTCTTACATGTTGAACCCAAATACCTGTACTTTCTACTTCTCTCATGTTGAACACAAATACCTGTACTTTCTACTTCTTACATATTGAACACAAATACCTGTACTTTCTACTTCTTACATGTTGAACCCAAATACCTGTACTTTCTACTTCTTACATGTTGAACCCAAATACCTGTACTTTCTACTTCTCTCATGTTGAACACAAATACCTGTACTTTCTACTTATTACATGTTGAACACAAATACCTGTACTTTCTACTTCTTACATGTTGAACACAAATACCTGTACTTTCTACTTCTCACATGTTGACACAAATACCTGTACTTCTACTTCTTACATGTTGAACACAAATAACCTGTACTTTCTACTTCTTACATGTTGAACACAAATACCTGTACTTTCTACTTCTCACATGTGAACACAAATACCTGTACTTTCTACTTCTTACATGTTGAACACAAATACCTGTACTTTCTACTTCTTACATGTTGAACCCAAATACCTGTACTTTCTACTTCTTACATGTTGAACTCAAATACCTGTACTTTCTACTTCTTACATGTTGAACTCAAATACCTGTACTTTCTACTTCTTACATGTTGAACTCAAATACCTGTACTTTCTACTTCTTATATGTTGAACTCA